GAGCTCCTCCGGCAGGCAAGGCTGCGTTGGCTGGGTCATGTAGCCCGCATGCCCAGCCACCGCATGCCTAAACAGCTTTTGTTCGGCCGGATCGAGGGGGCTAGACGGGCGCGGCACGGGCTGGAGAAGAGATGGAGTGATGTGGTACAGGAGGACGTGGAGCTGAGTGGACTTGCCGATGACTGGTACCAGCGGTGTCAAGATCGGCCTCAGTGGAGGAGGCTCGTGAAGGACGCTACTGGGCAGTTGGAGGCAGTCGCCCTCCAACAACAACGGAGGGCGGAGGAGCGACGCTCACAACAACGAGCGGAGCGCCGGGTGGCTAAAGCACAGCAAGTTGGTACAGTAGGGGGCACAGGTGGTGCATCAGCCAGTCATCTCGGTCATCTCGGTCAGTCGACCCGTGGCACCTGGGTCTGCCCCGTGACCTCCTGCCAGCGGGCGTTCGACACTTCACGTGGCCTCAAGGTGCACTTGGCCTGGCACAAGCATCGTGGTGACGTCACCGCCACTTAGTGGCGAATGGCGGTTGTTGTTGTTGTTGTGTAAGTCTATGGGTGTATGTGTAAGTCTATGGGTGTATGTGTAAGTCTATGGGCGTATGTGTAAGTCTATGGGTCTCTATGTAGGTCAATGGATCTCTGTGTACATTAATGGGTGTATGTGTAAGTCTATGGGTGTATGTGTAAGTCTATGGGTGTATGTGTAAGTCTATGGGTGTATGTGTAAGTCTATGGGTCTCTGTGTAGGTCAATGGATCTCTGTGTACATCAATGGGTGTATGTGTAAGTCTATGGGTGTATGTGTAGGTCAATGAGTGTATGTGTGAGTCTATGGGTCTCTGTGTAGGTCAATGGATCTCTGTGCACATCTCTGGGCGATTGTGTGGATCTATGGGACAAGGGGCTAAACCCGACTTGGTAGTCCGTTGGTTCAGCCCCAGCCCGTGTCGGATTGTTCCATCTCGCCGCGGGGGAGGGGGGGGATTAAATTATTTATTTATCTGCTCACGCCCGCAATGTGTTACGCACATTTCCACGCGTGCGCAAAGCACGACGCAAAGATTCCCCGCATAGCCTCGGGAGACGGTAGGGGCAAGTGTTGTTAGCGAGGAGCAGCGCCTGTGCAGGCTGACACGGCGCACGAGGTGGCGGGTGGTCAGCACCACGTCCCGGCCGCCTTTGTCTCCCCCGTGGCGAAGTTTACGCGCAGTGCGTTGGTCGCGAGCGGGAATCAAAGTCGGGCTGCCGGGTTCGTAGCGCAGTGCGCCAACCGCTGCGCCACCACTTCTCGCGGCCCCCCCCAAGCGACTCACGGCAATGAACTGTTCACAATGAACGCACGTTAGGAAACTTGAGATGGAGATTAAATAACTGCTGATCTAAACCGCGTCCACTGCACAAACCATGGCAACAGATGCGGATGATCATGTCTGACGATGCCTCATAACACAACGTGTCACGGCGCAATGCCCCAATCCACGAATGCGAAGCAGACATCACCACGGCGATGACGATGATGACGACGACGACGATGATGATGACGATGATGACGACGATGATGACGATGACGATGATGACGATGATCATGATGACGACGATGATGACGACGATGATGCTGATGATGATGATGACGATGATTTCGATTTATAGCTTCCGTGACTGCAGGGATTCATCTTCTTGGTTCTTTCGGTAAAGTCACGTAGAAGGGAAGTAGTGACTAATCCCATATCTGCATTTCCCATAAATATGCTAAATTCCTCTTGATATGCAAATTCCTTTGTCAAGGCGCTCTTCCCCCTCCAACCCAGCTTAAATATACGCTGCCAAGCCTGGGGGTGTTCATTCAGACGCTGTCTTTCCGACAGACCTGTTCTTCACCTGAGAACGGCTGCTTGCGTTGTGGCCGAAACGTCGTGAGAATAATTTTATTGGTTTATGTTTATTATTTTATTATTTCTCTTCTACGTAACTTTACCGAAAGAACCAAGAAGATGACGATGATGATGATGATACACCAACTCTGCTGTTCCCGACACGGATGTCTGTGCTTGACCCGCCCGAATATGAAACTGCGGTCATCGGCTCTGCATCTACATCGGCCGTGCGACAGAAGATGAAGATTGAGGTCTTCCTTCAAAATGCAGAGCCACGTGACTCTTTAGCGATCAGGAGACGAAACGCAAACTCCACACAGAGAGGCACCCAGGTCAGGAATCCAACCCAGGCGAGGCACGAGTGTTACCACAGCACTGCTCACCCTGAAAGTTGTTCGAATTATTCATTTTCCTCCACCAGCCTAGCCAGGGAAGGAGGCCTCGCCGAGTCTCAAGACTCGCCCTTCAGGAGGGTCCTGCCAAGTTCTCGCCGTTGCTGCTACCGCTGCTGCTACTACCGCTGCTGCTGCTGCTGCTACCATTGCTGCTGCTACTACCACTGCTGCTGCTGCCGCTGCTGCTGCACTATCTCAACTGAGCGATCTGCTGGGGTAACCGGCGTCGCGGTTACGAGATGTTGACCGCCTCGCCTGGCACGCGAGAGGTTGTGGGTTCGATCCCGACGCCGACGCCCATTGTATATTTGGAGTTTGGCCGCTTGGATTTTTCTCCGGGTCCTTCGGGATTTTCCCTTCAAATTTAGAATGGACATCACCACGCGTTGAAGAGTATTTGGGTGCTGCTATAAATTTCCACACAATGATGACGATAAGCCACTTCGTTGAGATATCATTTGTGATTGCGGGTCGCTTCTGAACAAGAGTTATACAGCTCAGTGGGACTGTTAAAGTATTTTTCTTGAATAGTTTTGGTTTTTAATAGATTGTAACTTTCCAAGCGCTGGGATTTATTTTTCCGCCACTGTCGAATCCGCCGAGGCAGCCGCGTGTTTTTTTATTTGTTGCCTCTCCAAAAGGAGACATTCGCAGAGCGATCGTTTCGAATTCGACCGATCGTGGACTGGTGACGCCACCGCCACCGCCGCCACCACCGCCACCGCCGCCGCCGCCGTGCCTCTTAATCACGGGCGGATCTCACCGGCAACGCCGCCGTGGGTCACGCGTGAGCCAAGCGGGGCGGGCGGCGCGACACGACGCGGTTTAATCACGGGCGGATCTCACCGGCAACGCCGCGCCCAATCATCTCCACACACCTCCTCCTCCTTCTCGGGAAAGTAACGGCCGGGCGGCTGGCCGGCGGTGGTTTTTCATTCACCGTCTCATCGACTTGCTGCCGATGAGACGGTGAATGTCGATAGCAATCCAGCAATTTTGCTCCCGTTTCACCAATGGATCAAGTGAGCCTGCTTCTGCTGCTGCTGCTGATGAGAGACTGAATGTCGAAACTGGTCCCGAGTTTTCGCTTGTGCTGAGCCAATGCTTCTCGTGCAAACCGATTTCCTGCCGATGAGAAGTTCAATGTGGAAACCGGTCCCGAGTTTTCGCTTGTGCCGAGTCAATGCTTCTCGTAAGAGCCGACTTCCTGCCGATGAGCCGCGGAATGTCGAAACCGGTCCAGCCAATTTGCGAGCGTTGAACCGCTGACTCATGCGAACCTGCCTCTGCCGTTGAGGCACCGAAACGTCGAAAACCGGTCCGGAGGGTTCCCCCCCCCCCCAGCTCACAGTCTTGCACGAGGAAGTTGCCCCGTGCACGGCCGATGGGAAGTGCTTACAACGCAACTTAATGTTGGTAACGACGAGTGACGTCGGGCAAGGGGAGGAGGAGGATCGTCGTCGTCCGCCAAGAGATTTGCTAACTTGGGCAGAAATCGCGTTTCATTAATCAAAGCCCCACGCTCGCGCTGAGTGCGCGAGGGGGAAACGTGTGGCGGTGGTGATAACGCAGCGGGGGGCGTGGGGGGGGGGCGTGGGGGGGGGGCGTGGGGGGGGGCAGTGGGGGGGGGAGAGCGTGGGGGGGGGTGCGTGGGGGGGGAGCGTGGGGGGGGAGCGTGGGGGGGGGGCAGTGGGGGGGGGAGAGCGTGGGGGGGGGCGTGGGGGGGGAGCGTGGGGGGGGAGCGTGGGGGGGGAGCGTGGGGGGGGGCGTGGGGAGGGGTGCGTGGGGGGGGGAGCGTGGGGGGGTGCAGTGGGGGGGGGGGAGCTAAACCACGAGGCCCCATGCAGACGGACCCCGTGGCGTCCACACACACACACATGCACACACACGCGTCACTCTACCCACACCTTACACCACCACGCGCGGAGTGAACCGATGCCACACGGACACATGACATGATGGAAACATGACACAAATATGACGAGTGGGTGGGTGAGCGGGAGAGTGAGTCAATGAGTGGGTAAATGAATGAGTCGGTTGGTTGGTGAGAGATTGGGTGGGTGAGTGGGTGAGTGGGAGAGTGGGAGAATGTGTGGGTGAGTGTGTGGGTGAGCGTGTGGGTGAGTGTGTGGGTGAGCGTGTGTGTGAGTGTGTGGGTGAGTGTGTGGGTGAGTGTGTGGGTGAATGTGTGGGTGAGCGTGTGTGTGAGTGAGTATGTGGGTGAGTGTGTGGGTGAGTGTGTGGGTGAGTGAGTGTGTGGGTGAATGTGTGGGTGAGCGTGTGTGTGGGTGAGTGTGTGGGTGAGCGTGTGGGTGGGGAGCGGTAGTGTAGCGGTTAGTGTGCTGCACTATGAACTCGGAAACCTGAGTTCGATTCCCGCTCACGGCCAATACCAGTGACGATTATCTGAACCAGTCCTGGGCCTCCCCTAGGTCGACTCGGCCTCAAATGAGTACTTGGTGCAGAGTGTGTTATCATCGCCACTGGGGAGACAAAGGTGGTGGGGTGTGGTGCTGGCCACCCACCCCCTCGTGTACCGATCCGGCCTTCATAGGTGCTCGCTAACAGCACGTGCCCCTACAGTCGGTTAAGGATACACCTTTGTCTTTGTGTGGGGGTGAGTGAGTGAGTGAGCAGGTAAACGGGTGAGCGTGCGGGTGCGAGCGAGTTGACCGTGGTGCGGGTTGAGTGGGTGAGTGAGGAGCGGGTGAGTGGCACCAAACACTCACCAACATAGTAGGTGGTTGGTGCGTTGGGGTTGTCAAATATGTCCTTGGTGTTCTGATCGAATCTCAGCCACAGCGAGATGGACAGCAGAGCGCACCCCACAAGCTGTACACAAACATCAGCATCATCATGAGCATAGTTATCTTCATCAGAAGTAGCCTCAGCGTCACGAGCAGCAGCGTCATAATTGTCATGATCAGCAGCATCATCAGCAGCAGAAGGATCATCATCATCATACCTGTCAACCCACTAGTACACTCACCACTAATACACTCACCACTAGTACACTCACTACTAGTACACTCACCACTACACTCACCACTAGTACACTCACCACTAGTACACTCACCACTACTACACTCACCACTACACTCACCACTAGTACACTCACCACTACACTCACCACTAGTACGCTCACTACTAGTACACTCACCACTACACTCACCACTACTACACTCACCACTAGTACACTCACCACTACTACACTCACCACTACTACACTCACCACTACTACACTCACCACTAGTACGCTCACTACTAGTACACTCACCACTACACTCACCACTAGTACGCTCACTACTAGTACACTCATCACTAGTACACTCACCACTAGTACACTCACCACTACACTCACCACTAGTACGCTCACTACTAGTACACTCACCACTACACTCACCACTAGTACGCTCACTACTAGTACACTCATCACTAGTACACTCACCACTAGTACACTCACCACTACACTCACCACTAGTACGCTCACTACTAGTACACTCACCACTAATACACTCACCACTAGTACGCTCACCACTACACTCACCACTACTACACTCACCACTAGTACACTCACCACTACTACACTCACCACTAGTACATTCACCACTACACTCACCACTAGTACACTCACCACTACTACACTCACCACTATAAACCTGTCAAGCAAAGTCCCATCATCACAAGGGAGAAACACAAACAAAGAGACACAAACAATGTTTTTCCCGCATTCAAACGGCTGTACGCTGTATGGACCTAAAAACGAAATTTCCCTGTACAAGAATACGGGTTAAACCGTGTGGGTTGACAGCTATGCAGCATCACGAGTGGCATCGTCATCATGAGCAGCAATATCGTAATAAATTATCATCAGCAGCAGCAACATTAGCAACATCAGCATCAGCAGCAGGGTCAGAGATTCGATGCAGGAACTCGGGAATGGAGATCCACGTTTAATCGACGGATCTTCGCAACAGATCCATAGTCGGTGTGCCGGTGTGCGAATATACAGAACACGAATCGGTGCGCGCACAGAGCGATCGACGTCCGATATTTATCGGCGGAATCAAAGCATCGCAAAACCCCTCCAGCAAGCCGGCACACAGATGAACATCTGGGCAATTCAGCAGCATTGGCTCAAGCGAGCCTGCCTCGGCTGCTGATGAGACACTCGGTGTCGAAACCAGTTCCTTGCCGATGAACATCTGGGCAGTTCAGCAGCACTGGCTCAAGCGAGCCTGCCTCGGCTGCTGCTGATGAGACGCTGGGTGTCGAAACTGGTCCATAGCTGTGCTTGTACGAAAGCGAAGCGACTGAAAGAAACCATTCCTCCGGAACGGGAAATGTCACATTCACACAACCACACTCACACTCATTCACACAACCACACACTCACTCATTTACATTACCGCACACACACTCATTTACATTACCACACACGCACTCATTTACATTACCACACACACACTCATTCACACAACCACACACACACTCATTCACACACTCACTCATTCACACTCATTCACACAACCACACACACACACACTCATTCACACACTCACTCATTCACACGACCACACACACTCATTCACACTACCACACACACAACACACACACACAACACACACACACTACCACACACACACAACACACACACTCATTCACACTACCACACACACAACACACAGACACACACACACTCATTCACACTACCACACACACAACACACACACACACAGACACACACACACACTCATTCACACTACCACACACACAACACACACACACTCATTCACACTACCACACACACAACACACACACACTCATTCACACTACCACACACACAACACACACACACTCATTCACACTACCACACACACAACACACACACACACAGACACACACACACAGACACACACACTCACACTGACACACAGACACAGACACTCACACAGACACACACACAGACATACACACAGACGCACACACGTGACCCTAGGAGGTAACTCGTGTTATCACCTCTACGTCGCGGGTAACGCTGAGGTTGTGTTGTTGTTTTTAAAGGCAGCAAAGACAGGGCAAGAGGAATCTCGCACAGAGCTGCTGAACGACTTCCCCACACAGCCGGCAATGTGCTGCTGGTGGGGCAAGTTCCCCACCCTCACCACATACCACACACATACACCACACATACACACAACACACAAACAACACATACACATAACACACACACCACACACACACCACACACACACACCACACACACACACATACACACACACACCACACATACACACAACACACAAACAACACATACACATAACACACACACCACACACACACCACACATACACCACACATACACACACCACACACAACACACACACCACACACAAACAACACACACCACACACACAACACATACTAATCACATACACATAACACACACACACCACACACACACCACACATACACACACCACACACACCACACGCACCACACACAAACAACACACACCACACACACAACACATACTAATCACATACACACAACACACACACACCACACACGTGCATGGCACAGTGCGCGTGCATTGTACAGTGCGCGTGCATGGCACAGTGAGTCGTCTCCTGCTGCTGCTCCTGCTGCTGGTGGTGCTGGTGGTGGCGCTGGTTGGTGGTGGTGCTCCTGCTGGTGGTGCTGCTGGTGGTGCTGGTGGTGGTGCTGGTGCTCACCCAGAAGAGGAAGTTGAAGGCGACGAGCACGAACTTCATGCACCTCAAGCAGGCGGCGAGACCCATGGCGAGACGGCGACTCGCGCGGGGTCCCCGAAACTTCTCACGCCTCGAGACGGGAGATCGATGACGATGATAGATCGACGGTGATGATGATGATTGATAGGTGATGATGATTGATAGGTGATGATTATTTATTGATGGTGAATGTCGGTCGCGATGATGTTGATCGGAATTGTGAGGGAGTTGTAGTTGTAGTAGTAGCTGTGTCTGTGTCTCTCTGTGTCTTTGTGTGTCTGTGTGTGTCTCTGTGTGTCTGTGTGTGGGGTGTGGAGGGAGTTGTAGTAGTAGCTGTGTCTCTGTGTGTGTCTCTCTGTGTGTGTCTCTGTGTGTGTCTCTCTGTGTCTCTGTGTGTGTATCTCTGTGTCTCTCTCTGTGTGTGAGGGAGTGAGGGAGTTGCGAGTTTGCGGCGCACGCCCCACCCACAAGCGGCTGCCTCACGTGGTCACCGTGAGGAGTAGATGCGTGTGAGTGTGTGTAGATGTGTGTGTGTGTAGATGTGTGTGTGTGTAGATGTGTGTGTGTGTAGATGTGTGTGTGTGTAGATGTGTGTGTGTAGATGCGTGTGTGTAGATGTGTGTGTGTGTAGATGTGTGTGTGTGTAGATGTGTGTGTGTGTAGATGTGTGTGTGTAGATGCGTGTGTGTAGATGTGTGTAGATGTGTGTGTGTGTAGATGCGTGTGTGTAGATGTGTGTGTAGATGTGTGTGTGTGTGTGTAGATGTGTGTGTGTGTAGATGTGTGTGTGTGTGTAGATGCGTGTGTGTGTGTAGATGTGTGTGTGTGTGTAGATGTGTGTGTAGATGTGTGTGTGTAGATGCGTGTGTGTGTAGATGCGTGTGTGTGTGTAGATGCGTGTGTGTGTAGATGTGTGTGTAGATGTGTGTGTGTAGATGTGAGTGTGTGTAGATGTGTGTGTGTGTAGATGTGTGTGTGTAGATGTGTGTGTGTAGATGTGTGTGTGTAGATGCGTGTGTGTAGATGTGTGTGTAGATGTGTGTGTGTGTAGATGTGTGTGTGTGTAGATGCGTGTGTGTAGATGTGTGTGTAGATGTGTGTGTGTAGATGCGTGTGTGTGTGTAGATGTGTGTGTAGATGTGTGTGTGTGTAGATGTGTGTGTGTGTAGATGTGTGTGTGTGTAGATGTGTGTGTGTGTAGATGTGTGTGTGTAGATGTGTGTGTAGATGTGTGTGTAGATGTGTGTGTAGATGTGTGTGTAGATGTGTGTGTGTGTGTGATGGGAGTAGATGTGTGTGTGTAGATGTGTGTGTGTGATGGGAGTAGATGTGTGTGTGTAGATGTGTGATGGGAGTATATGTGTGTAGATGTGTGTGTAGATGTTTGTATGTGTAGATGTGTGTGTGTGATGGGAGTAGATGCGTGTATGTGATGGGAGTAGATGTGTGTGTGTAAATGTGTGATGGGAGTAAATGTGTGTGTAGATGTGTGTGTGTAGATGTGTGTGTGTAGATGTGTGTGTGTAGATGTGTGTGTAGCTGTTTGTATGTGTAGATGTGTGTGTGATGGGAGTAGATGCGTTTGTGTGATGGGAGTAGTCGTGTGTGTGTGTGAGTGAGATGGGAGTAGATATGTGTGTGTAAGAGGGGATTAGTGTGTAAGAGAGGGTTTGTGGGTGTGGGGAGAAGATGTGTGTGTGTGATGGGAGTTTTGTGTGTGTGGATGAGGGGCATGCATGTGGGTGAGTAATGTGTGTGTGAGAGATGGGAGTGTATGCGTGTGTGAGTTGTAAGTAGATATGGGAGTGGGTATCAGTGTGCGTTGGCACGGCGGGGAGCACAGGTGGTGCATCGTCCAGTCAACCCATAGCACCCTGACATCATGCACCTAGCCTGGCACAGCACCGAACCCATAGCACCTGCCGGGACTGTCCCGTGACCTCCTGCACCTAGCCTGGCACAACACCCAACCCATAGCACGAGCTGGATCTGTCCCGTGACCTCCTGCACCTAGCCTGGCACAGCAGCCAACCCATAGCACGAGCTGGGTCTGTCCCGTGACATCATGCACCTAGCCTGGCACAGCACCCAACCCACAGCACGTGCTGGTCTGTCCCGTGACATCATGCACCTAGCCTGGCACAGGACCCAGCCCACAGCACGTGCTGGGTCTGTCCCGTGACCTCTCCTGTTCGCAGCGAGCCTTCGACACTTTCACGTGGCCTCCAAGTGCACGTAGCCTGGTACAAGCGCCGCGGTGAGATGCCACGGAGGTTGCGGTGGTTTGTATCAGTGCGTGTCCTCACACACACACACGTCCTCACACACACACTTCCTCACACACACACACGTGTTCTCTCACACACGTGTTCTCACACACACACACGTGTTCTCTCACACACACGTGTTCTCACACACACACACGTCCACACACACACGTCCTCACACACACACACGTGTTCTCTCACACACACGTGTCCTCACACACACACACGTGTGTCCACACACACACGTGTTCTTTCACACACACACGTGTCCTCACACACACACACACGTGTTCTCTCTCACACACACGTGTTCTCTCACACACACACGTGTTCTCACACACACACACACGTGTGTCCACACACACACGTGTCCTCACACACACACACGTGTTCTCTCTCACACACGTGTTCTCTCACACACACACGCGTGTTCTCTCACACACACACGTGTCCTCACAGCAATATTTTTGCTGTCTTTTCTTGGATTTTCTGTTTGCACTTAGTCACATATTCACTTTAAGATGTTTTTTGTTCATGTTTTTTGTTTGTTGCGGTTGCACCCGATTCAAGAGCTGAATGGCTCACAGGGCTATACCTAATAAATGAACTTGAACTTGAACACACGTGTGTCCACACACACACACGTGTCCTCACACACACACACACGCGTGTACTCACACACACGTGTGTCCACACACACACGCGTGTACTCACACACACACACGCGTTTACTCACACACACACACATGTCCTCACACACACACGTGTGAGGATTCGTATGAAGCTGGGGGGAGTGGTGGCGCGGTGGTTAGGGCGCTACGCTGCGCTACGAAGCCCCCTCCTGGCCAACCCGGGTTCCATTCACCGCTCACGGCCAACACCGGTGACGATTATCTGAACCGGTCCTGGGCATCCCCTAGGTCGACTCAGCCTCAAATGAGTACCTGGTGCGGTGTGTAGTAAACATCGCCACTGGGGAGACAAAGGCGGCCGGGCGTGGTGCTGGCCACCCACAGCACTTGCCCCAGCAGTCTGTTGAGGCTACACGGGGATATTTGTTTGTGTGTGTGTGTATGAGAATGTGTGTGTGTACGCGTGTACGATGTTGTGTAACAGGCATACCACGCATTGTAATCATCACGCCCGCCTGTGAGACACGGGGGGACCCTACCCATCCATTCGCAGAACCTGTGTCATCACAGACACTCACACGCACACCTGCACAGGTGACTCAGTCAACTACACACACTGAATTACAGCCAACCCCATCTGTCACTCTAACCGCTGGATGGCCGCGTTGGTGACAATATGATGAACACATTCCTGCGGAGGGAGCTGGTAGGAACGTTGGGTTGCTCGGTCAATGGCCTGCAGGGTCAACGGCGGCGTGGTGTATTCCGCAAATATGGCCGACTGTGAGGGCGGGCACAAGCCGGCGTGAGTAGGTTACACGTTGAGTTGTATAAGGGCACCACGGGGTGACCAGCCCCTCCCTTCCCCACCCAGCCCCACCCCTCCCACCCAGCCCCACCCTCCCCACCCAGCCCCTCCCCACCCTCACCACCCAGCCCCTCCCCAAAGGGTCCCCATAGCTCGGGATGAGCCACACAGAGAGAGACACCGAGAGCCACGGGCCTCGGGCTGAGCCACGTGGAGCATCGGAGACAATGTGAGCACGAGGAATGATGAGCAATGCTGTGACCCGCATAGGCAAAGGTGAAGTCGTCAATTAGGTGCAAGCTTACTCTTAGGTTTTTTCGGTAAAGTCACGTAGGTAAAAATTAAATAAAATTAAAAATTACTAAAAGTAATAATAGAAATAAAATAATAAATGACGACGTTTCGGAGGCAACACAAGTCTCCGTCATCAGGTGGGACCGTCACAGCCAGATTTGCTGTATCAAGTACGTGACTTTACCGAAAAAACCTAAGAGTATGAATTCTTGCAGTCACGAAAGTTTCAAATATAGAATTAGGTGCAAGCTTGTCTGCTACTGATCAAACACTCAATGTCGAAACCGGTTTAGAGTTTTCATTTCTGTTGAACCAATAGTTAAAGCAAACCTGTCTCTGCTGCTGATGAAACACTGAATGTCGAAACCGGTTTAGAGTTTTCACTTCTTGTTGAACCAATTGTTCAAGCAAACCTGCCTCTGCTGCTGATGAAACACTGAATGTCGAAACCGGTTTAGAGTTTTCACTTCTTGTTGAACCAATTGTTCAAGCAAACCTGTCTCTGCTGCTGATGAAACACTGAATGTCGAAACCGGTTTAGAGTTTTCACTTCTGTTGAACCGATAGTTCAAGCAAACCTGCCTCTGCTGCTGATGAAACACTCAATGTCGAAACCGGTTTAGAGTTTTCGCTTTTTGTTGAACCAATTGTTCAAGCAAAACTGTCTCTGCTGCTGATGAAACACTGAATGTCGAAACCGGTCCAAAGTTTTCGCTTCTGTTGAACCGATGGTGCTGAATCAATTCACTTCTGCTTAGTGAATCGTTATTCACACGTTCCCCTATCGGTTACATTCGCCACGAGACCACCAGTCCCGCGCTATACGCTGCTGCCACCTGCTGATCTTGCGGGGAACTGTTGGGACTGACCCTTCATAAGTGTCGGGGTATAAATCAGCACTCCCCATGCTTTCGATTTAAAGCTTTCGTGACTGCAGTGATTCATCTTCTTGGTTCTTTCGGTAAAGTCACGTAGAAGGGAAGTAATAAAATAATAGAAATAAAACATAATAAAATACAATTCTCACGACGTTTCGGCCACAACGCTGTCTCCCCGACAGACCTGTTCTTCACCTGAGGACGGCTGCTTGCGTTGTGGCCGAAACGTCGTGAGAATTGTATTTTTTTACGTTTATTATTTTATTATTTCCCTTCTACGTGACTTTACCGAAAGAACCAAGAAGATGAATCCCTGCAGTCACGAAAGCTTTAAATCGAAAATTAAAACTCCCCATGCTGCTAGCGGGTAGCTCCCCTTCTCGTCAACAGGGGGCGCAAGCGGGGCCACGCCAGTGTCAGTGACCGTGGCCCAATCCCTGCGAAAACGGATCCTGGGACACAAATCCCCAAGCCCCGGGAGGGGGGACTGGGGGATGACGTCACCTTCCAGAAGGTTCTGGAAGGGAGGCGTGGCTAGAGCGGAGCCAAGCCACGGGCCTGTACATAAGCCGGATCTCTGCAGGCT